TTATTTTTTACCTATTCCCCCGGACAAACGCGCCCCGGCCGCGGAGGGTGATTGTCCCCGGGCGCAGTGCCTCTCCCACGCCGGGGAGGGGAGTCACAAGGCCGGCCCCCCGCCTGCCGCGCATTCCCGATCCGCCTCGCCTCGGTCAGCACCCTCTGACAGCCTCAGGGGTCCGGACCTTGCCGGGGTTATATAGCAGAGAGGCCCACGCGTGTCGCCCATTTCCCGCCGCCGAGGAAAACGGTGTTTTTGAGCGGCCGTGCCCGTGAAGATCTCAGCGCGATGCCCGGCTCGGACCTCGGCAAGGCCGTGTGCATCATCACCGGCGCCTCCAAGGGCTTCGGCCGCAGCCTGGCCCTGCAGCTCGGCGGCCTGCTGCAGGCGGGCTCGGTGCTGGTGCTGGCGGCCCGCTCCGGGGACCGGCTGCTGGAGCTGAGCGGGGAGCTGAGCGGGGAGCTGGCCGGCGTGGAGGTGCGCTGCGTGACGGCCGACCTGGCCCGCAGGGAGGGGATAGAGGAGACGGTGCGGGTCGCCAGGGAGGCGGCGCCGAAGGACATCGACCACCTGCTGCTCATCAACAACGCAGGTGAGGCTGAGGGAAGAGGCTCGGAGCCCAGCCTCGGATAAGTGCAACTAAAATCTGCAATATTCCTGACAGACTTGTCGCCGTTTTTTTGGGCACTTTTGGCATGTAGCTATTGCTAAGAGTTCATCATACTGTATATAAAACTGATTTGCGGTGAGTCTGGCAGATCGTTACTGCTGGTCAGCTGTTCTCACGGAACACAGAATTCACAGTAACTGGGCGACACAGGCAGACCTGGCTGCCCAGAGAGGACAGGCTGTGCTCCTACTGCCAGCGGGGAGAAATAGAGACAGAGGTGCACTTCCTACTGCACTGTGACAGATACTCTGGGATTAGAGAAACATTCTTCCCTAAATTTAAAAATCTAATCCCAGAGTTCCCACACCTGCCTGCCAGAATCACAACGGGTCCCAATCCTACTGGGAGAGGGAGGAGGGAACTCAGTTGAACTGGCAGCCCAGTATGTGATCTCCTGTCCTGAGGAACAGACAGTGATGTGTCTGTATTGTAAATGTCTGTAGATGTTCTGTTAGTTGTATATGCTTTGAATACACTATAATTCATATATCCTTAGTATTACATGCTGAGCAAGAATCCTCTGTGGTCTGGAGAGCAGTTCTGTTTGGCGTCTCAGTGGTACAGATGTGTAGCAGTAGCGACAGAGGACCGGTCCGGTGTAGCGGCGCCGCGAGGGTTTGGGCCTGCAGGACCGGTCTGGTGTCTCAGTGGCAGCAGTACAGCTGTGTAGCAGTAGCGACACGCAGTGACGGTGAACTCTGTCTCTCTCCCAGGCTCCCTCGGTGACATCAGCCGCAATGCGGTTAGCTTCACGGACCCCAGCGAGGTGGACGCCTACCTGTCGATGAACGTGAGCTCGGCGCTCAGCCTGACGGCGAGCGTGCTGGGGGCGTTCCCGCGGCGACCAGGGCTTCGGCGCAGCGTGGTCAACATCAGCTCACTGTGCGCCCTGCAGCCCTACCGCTCCTGGGTGCTGTACTGCACCGGCAAGGCAGCCAGACACATGATGTTCAGGGTGCTGGCTGAGGAGGAGCCTGATGTCAGAGTGCTGAACTACGCACCCGGTGAGAGGAGAGAGAGACTGGGGGGAGAGGGGAGACAGGAAAGAGAGAGAGGAGAGGGACTGCTCTGTGCAGATGACCTGGTCCTGCTGTTGCCCACAGAACAGGGTCTGCAGCAGAGCCTGGCACTGCTGGAGCAGTACTGTCAGACCTGGGCGCTGACAGCCCATCTGGACCCAGAACAGGGTCAG